TTTGCGTTTTTTATAAAAAGATGTTCTAATATTCTTGAAAAGCTTCTAGAACGCCAGCAAACACTTTCTCGATCTATTTTTGATAAACGCAAGTGATGAAAAAAATTTATTTTTTTGACCAAAATCATAGTCTAACCCCTTTGGAAAAATGCGAATTTTGCTGTTTTCTTACATCCATGTTTTCATTGTCTAGAAAGGCTTGTTGTTTAACGAAAATGTAACCAACTAATTTTTCTTGGTGTATTTTGTATAAAACTAAAAATTGCCAAAATCTCAAATCTTCGACCAAAACCATGGACTACCCCTTTGGAAAAATGCCAATTTTGCAGTTTTTTGTAACCCCCTGTATCCCGTTGTAACCCCTGTAATCTCTTTTAAGCCCCCTGAACCCCTTGTAACCCCAGCATCCCCTGTAACGGATTCTAGCCCTCTAAACCCTTTCAAGCTCATGTGATTACATTCACCTACAGACAAATCAACTACATGCAGCTTGCAATTCAGCGTCAAACTAAAGAAAACCAACTCGCTATTAAAAAGTCATTTTGCCGCAATGCAAAGCTATGCTTCAAAAGAACTCAACGAACCAAACCAAACTACTTGAAGACATCAAAAACTCAAAGAGAAGAGCAAAAACCACAGAAAATCAATCATCAGGTATTAAAATTAAAAACACACCGGCTTTATATTTAACGACAAACAACGTTTCCTAAGTTCAATCAAAACAAAGAATCCTCCCGTATTGTAATCCATTCCCTTTGGCTAGAAAGAAAAGAAACAGAGCAAGCGGGTTTTTTAATAAGGGAGCCGTAAAAAGTCCTGACAACAAAGCCAAACTAAAGAGTATTTTCACTGAAGTGTTTTTTAATCCGGTTTTTTGGTTACCTTTTCTCCGTTGCGTCGCAGATGTTGACTTTGTAGTTTGTTCCGTTGGCGGCGCAGTCGTAGTTGAAGAAGGAACTACATAAAAACAGAGTATAAAAAATTGCCTTAGGGGTTTGTTAAATACATCATCATCAAAATCATCATCATCATCATCATCATCATCATCATCATCATCATCATAATTAACAACTATTCTTTGAAATCGAGGTGACTATCAAATGTCAGAAGTTTTATCATTTTGCGATCGGGATAACAGTGCTAACTTTTCTAGTGAAAAACGGTAAAATGAAGCTTTCCGGGAAGTTTATATTTTGAGGAGACGTGAAAAAACTTCAAGTCAAATCTAGTAAGCTTAGTCGTCCTCGAATCTAAAGGTCTCTAGTTAAACGGAGAGAGAACAGGGTGCCCAATAGGGTTCTCCAATCCCGTAATCTCGACCCAAAATTTCGTGCAATCCCGTAATCCCCAGGGTTATTTCGAGCATTCTAACTTGCGTGCATACTTTCAATCCTGAATCTTGGCCGACTTTGCTTTAAAATCCTGAATCCCGAGCTTCAAATAAGGGAAATCCCCGATCCCGATAAACCTATTGGGGATCCTCAAGATTGACTAGTTCAGAAGATTTTCATGGAAACTTTCTCTTTACTAACCTGGACATCCATATATCTCCAGTCTCATTGATATCTGATTGTGCCACTCCACTGGTAAGATACGGATTAGACGTGCTGTTATTGGTGGGACTAACACGTTATACACCACGGTATCGCTGTCGTGATTTGCGTAAAATACCTTTAGAACAAAGATGAAAGTGAACAGTTGTTTTATTCCCGTTTAGCAGACATTTTAAGGGATTCAGGGTAAGTTTCAAAAGGGCCGTCGAAAAAGGTTGGAGATAATATAACTCTTGTTTCACAAGTATAAACCTTCCTTCGACTTCTTTAACGAAGAAATACAAAAAATTGCGTTTCGAGTAGGAGGAAAAGCAAACTAATGATTTACCTGCACCCGAACCACATAGAACGACATCGCCCAAGATGCCATTTAACCCTTTAAATCCTAAGTTCAAAATTTGAATTCTCATTTGTTGTCCCTATTCATTTTCTACAGAAGTAGTGGGGAGAAGTTGATAAAATATCAAGCAAATTCTTCTTGTGTGATCATGTCCGTAATTCTCATGATCACTGTGTTTTACAAAGCATTGATATTACAAGAAGAAATTTGATGCTGATCAATCTTAGGGCGTAAATGGTTAAATTACTTGAAGATTTTTCAACATATGACTCTTTCGCCCCAGCGTCACTCCCGGACGGTATATTATCCGCGGTTGCAATGCTTTTTCACGATTTCAGAGCAAGTAGAAGAAACGCACCATGTAATCAAACAAACATACTTTTGGTGAACTTTTGACTGACTTCTTGACAAAAGTAAAGGTTATTCCAAGGTCTTCACTGTACTGCAGTCGGTACTTGACCACCCACGCATCACCTGCATTCTTTCCTTGCGTCGCTACCCTAGTGACTCTGGTGGAACCACCAAGATCCACCTTAATCCATTGGCCAAAGTCATTGTAAAGAGCAGACCATCCTCCTTGCTTGAGGCCATCTTCTTTTAACTGCAATCTGGCCAGTGTTGCCCTATTGTTGTCATCCAGCTGTGAAGACGCGGTGATATGAGCATCCGGGATTTTATCATCTTCCATGCCAAGGGCACTGTTGCATTCTAGGATGATTTAAAAATGCCAAGAACTGAGGACTTCCAAAACTTATATATCTGAATATAATTTGTAGAGCAATTTCAATGAACTAGATCGGATTTTCAAGGTTTCAGTTTTCGGGCAGTTTGGCTATTAAATCGCAGTTGTCCTTCCCATAGGCTGGTATAAAACAAACTGGCTTCAAAATACTTACGTTTGTGATTTTGTAGCATACGGAGTAAGCATTATTCAAAATAACTCCCTTAAAGCAGTCATTATACTCCCTCGTCCCTCTTCCTGCTCTTTCCTCACAATCCCACCGAGAATGACGTTTCATTAAAGGGCAAGTAACAAATTGAATACGCAATTGAGAAAACATGTGGAAAAAATATGGAGTTTAATCGATATTTATAGGACTCACTAAAGCGTAATCGTCTCCCTAAGACTGCATTCCCGGCCCTACCACGTTTTTCTTGGTGTTTTTCCGTCAGACCTTTTTCGTTCGCAAACTATTGAACATTGTTTCGTTATTTCCCCAATTTCTCCCCATCACCGTCCATTTAGAAGTACCACGTCCCGCCCTTTCCTGTCCCGCCTCCGACTACCCATCCCGACCTCTGTTTACCTGGGTTCTCAACCTTATGTCGTCCCCAGAGCAGCAACAGCAACAACAGTGACAACAGAGACAACAAAGACAAAAGTGACAACAGCGAAAACAGTGGCGTCCACAGTGACAACAGTGAAAATGGCGACAACAGAGACAAACGCAACAATAGTGACCACAGCGACAACAGTGACAACAGCGGCAACAGCAACAACAGTGACAACCGCGACAACAGCGAAAACAATGACAACAGTGACAACAGCAAACAACAGCAACAACAGTAAAAACAGAGACAACAAAGACAACAGTGACAACTGCGACTACAGTTACAACAGTGACAACATTGACAACAGTGACAAGAGACAACACTGACAACAGTGACAGCAGAGACAACAGCGACAACAGTGACAACAGAGACAACAGTGACAACAGTGAGAACAGCGACAACAGCAGCAACAGAGACAGCAGTGGCAACAGCAACAGCAGTGAAAACTTTAAAAACAGGGACAACAGTGACGACAGAGACAACAGTGACAACAGAGACAATAGTGACAACAGGCGAGAATAGCGACAAAGAGACAACCGTTAAAAAAACGATAATAGTGGCAACAGTGACAGTAGGGACAACAAGAGACAACAGCGACAACCGTGACAACAACGACAACAAAGACAAAAGTGACAACAGCGACAACAGTGACAACAGCGAAAACAGTGGCGACCACAGTGACAACAGTGAAAATGGCGACAACAACGACAACATTGACAACAGAGACAACAGCAACAATAGTGACCACAGCGACGACAGTGACAACAGCGGCAACAGCAACAACAGCGACAACAGTGACAACAGCGAAAACAGTGATAACAGCGCAACAGCAAACACAGTGACCATAGAGACAACAATGACAGCAGCGACGATAGCAACAACAGCGAAAACAGAGACAACAAAGACAACAGTGACAACCGCGACTACAGTGAAAACAGTAACAACATTAGCAGAGACAACAGTGACAACAGAGACAACACTGAACTACAGGGACAACAGTGAGAAGAGCGACAAAAGCAGCAACAGAGACAACAGTGGCAACAGCAACAGCAGTGACAACTTTAAAAACAGGCACAACAGTGACAACAGAGACAACAGCGACAACAATGACAACAGTGACAACGGAGACAATAGCGACAAGAGATAACACTGACAACAGCTAGAACAGTGACAACAGCGACAGCAGAGACAACAGTGACAACAGCGACAACAGTGACAACAGAGACAACAGCGACAACAGCGACAACAGTGAGAACAGCGACAACAGTGAGAACAGTGACAACGTTGACAACAGCGACAACGGCGACAATAGTAACAACAGTCACAACTGTGACAACAGCGACAACAGCTAAAAAAACAACTAAATCGATGAATTCACGCCAGAAATGTCAGGAATACATCAAAGGTAAGTCTCCTTTATATATATTTTATAGGAAAATCAGTCGGAATAATGACATTTAGCGTTCGCAGACCTCAGTATTTTATTTCTCATACAAGGTCTCAACGGTTGCTTGTAGCACGACACCGACTATCTTGTGAGAAAGTTTATTTACATGACACAATCGTAACGTGAGCTTGGGACGCCTGTGGTCTCTTTGGATATTTATTGAAAAAAGGGTTTACAGAAAAGTTCAGCACCCAAAAGACTAGCATGGAAAGCAAAATGGCCACCGTTTGATTGTTTTGGAATACAAACATGACCATCCTGACGAGAGGAGAAAACGTTTTAATATGAGATATGTGGCAATGGCCCATTTATAACAACCGCTCCTCCTTAACTTACTCAAATTACCTGGACAACCATACAGCTCTATCCTCATAGATATACGACTGTTCCAAGCCATAGGCAATACACGAACAAACATTGTAGTGACTGGTGGACTCAGTGCATTATACACAACAGTATCACTGTCGCCGTTTCCAGTGAAAACCTGTAATAAGCAATTAAACAGTGAAACCATAAACCTTAACCCTAAGAACAAATAAGCGTCCAACAAGTCTCTCAGTTCGCTTGTTCACAATATATTCAGTGTTTACCAGCTATGTTGCCATAGAAAACAGGTTATGACTTCACACAGGGTCTAATCAAAACATATTGGGCGATCGAAGTAGCCTAGCTTGTTGGAAAAGAGAACTGATTTAAAAACATCTGGTTGCCTTTAAAGTATTTTGCATATACGTGTGTGAAGGTACCTTAGCTGATTTGTTTCCATGTTCTTTGTAAAACTGAAAGTTCATTCCATCATCACTGTACTGTAACTTGTAATTGGTCACCCACTCAATGGACCCAGTCCTTCCCTGAGTCGCTACACGTGTTACTGTGCTGTAACCTCCAAGGTCCACCTGTAGCCATTGGTGGAGATCGTTTTTAATGGCACTCCACCCACCCCCTCCAGTTAGGTTTTGCTCTTCTTTGAGGTGTAGCCTGGCCTTGCTTGGAGAGCTATTGTCATCAGACATTGAAGATGCACTGATCTGGGCATCTGATATTTGCTTATTTTCCATACCAAGTGGTGCTATACAATCTGTATGGTGCGATAGTACAGTTCATTTTTTGGGGCGGTATGTTTGAACTGAAAGTCGTAGCTCAAGCAAAACTATCCGTAAGTGCGTTACGTAACACACTTTTAATGAATGTGACCACGCGAAACTAAAACAGTCATCAAATCGTATTTTGAACGGTTATACGTTTTTTCTTTATTCTGTTTGGAAGTGGAAAATTTAATGAAAAATGTCTTAAAAAGTTCAATTTGTGATCCAATCATTTATCCATTTATCCATTAGGAGATAAACCATCATAGAGGAACTATTAGCTGCGGTTACACGAGACAACTAAACCATAGTAACAGGGAACCTTTAAGCGACGACGACGGCGTGGGCAGCCAGAACAGCGAAAAAGCAATAGGTGCAATATAAGCAAAACGGCAACTTTGCACATGCATCCCCCTTTTTTGTACACTTCTTTGCCGTCGGCACGACTACGAAGTCGGAACTGCCTAATTTCGTGTTTTTGTGGTGGACGTTAAGGCAAGACGACGAATTTTTTTCTGAACTTGAACTTGCATACAGCTGTTTTAGAATTTAACCCCAGAAAATTTGCCAACATTTGATAACTTGAACGTGATGGAAGAAGCGCGGTGAAGTTTGAAACAGTTAGTGCGAAATCACTTTAATGATTAGTGACGTTTTAGCAACCGTCGCCGTCGTGGTTACTCCCATGGCAAATGTAAGGCTAATTTGGCGTGAAAATTTGACTAAAGTAAAACCCCAGGTAGATTACAAAGGATTATTTCTTTTCCGCCGGTAAATCAGCAAATAAACGCTCCATAGGGTGCTAACCACGGTTATTTTCAACATGCCAATTCAAGTTAATCATTACCGCTCACACTGCACTCTAGCTTACATACAACTCTGAGAAAATTATTTGTAAGTAAAGCACACCTGGGCAGCCGTAGATCTCTACTCTCATTGATATGTGATTATACCACTCTATTGGTATAAAGCGAATGTAGCGTGCTCTCATCGGCGGGCTTATTCTGTTTGTAAAAACGCTGTTACTGTCTTTATTGCCTTCAAACACCTAAAAGGGGAAAACAAGCCTACTAGTTTTCACTTTCTCATTTCAAGTAAATCCCGGCTAATCAGGACAAACTGAATGACCAACGGTCACCCCAACTGTTTTCGGCGACGCGTTGGAATTAGACACCACCGCTTTTTTTCGTAAGATCATCGAGATCGAGCGCCCTGCGTTACGGGCGGCCATCTTGGTTTCAAATTTTTCGAGTTTAGCCTGAAGATGAAAGTCAAATCTACTTAGGGGGCAGAGGACGGTTTGGGAGGAGTCCACCATCCCCTATCGCTAGAAACCGCGACCCTGCCTCCCCCTCGGTAAATATGAAACCAAGATGGCCGATCTTACGAAAAATAGGGTACTGCGAACAGCCTAAGTTAGAATTAACAGTAAACCAATCGACCTCCCTCTAGCTCTGATGGATAATATCATATTTCCTACCGCTTTACGGCTTTCGAGATTACTTATTCCAACCCTGGAGAAAAATATCCCGTTAAATGCATTCCAAGCATTTTAACGTATATTATATTTAACGAACCAACAAATATTACAGCCCTACTTCTGGAGTCAATGTTGTTTGCCTCTTTAGATGCACATACACCTGTAGACTATGTAATATTTCCTTCAGTGGCTTTGTCAAAGGTTGCAGTTATAGTTAATGACAAAACCCCCAAATCACCACAAATCTAACGAACACGACTGAGCTTTATGTATACTTACCATTGCTGAGCTGCTTTCCCTCAGCTTATAATACTTGAAGATATTTCCTGCACGGCTATAATTCAATCTGTACTGTGTCACCCATTCGTTTCGTCCATTCCCTCCTTGGGTCGCTACACGTGTTACAGTTGTGTAACCACCAAGTTCTATCTGAAGCCACTGAAAAAAGTCATCTTTAAGAGCCGACCACCCTCCCCCCGTCCTGGAATCAGCTGTCAGATGCAGCCTTGCTTGCGTAGCGGTGTGTTTGTTGTCAAGTGACGATGAAGCGGTTATTCCAGAATCATGGATCGCTCCATTTTCCATACCAAGCGGTGTCGTACAGCCTAGATTTGTTTTAGAGGCAGAAACATCAAAAAAACTTAATACCCTCGCTAATTAGGCATGGTTTGGTCCCTTTCTGTAGAAAACCCAAATAAGCAAGATCCAGCCGCTCTCTCAAACTCCCGGGCTACTCAACAAACGTTTATACACGTAGGCTACCCAAGCAATGTGTTTGTTATCACGTGATAACGAGGTGGCTATCCACGAATAAGGGATCGTTCTATTTTCCAAATCAAGCAGTGTCGTACAACCTAGATTTGTCTGATTTGGTTGGATTAGCTTTCCCTGGATACTTCCCCACCGCTAGCTACGGCTCTGGTAAGCAGATAGTGGACCGGTAGTGATGCAAGATCAATGCCCAAGGGAAGTGACACACTCCAACAACACGCGCACAGCCATGTCTCCTGGTGACAGCCACAGACAGCTGCTTCGTTCAGTCAGAACGCATCATTATAGCGTACATCTAAGGACGGCCCCATTCACAAGAACACGGATATTTTTTAAACCACATTTTTTTAACACGAATCGGCCTTCCTTTTACACAAAATTAGCAAATCCGGTAACCGGAAACGGCATCTTTTTGAAACCCCTCCACACTGTAGTTTCGTCTCGGATTCAACGGATTTGCAAATTCGTGTAGCCGATGGTAACCGGATATTATTGAATTTCGATCGAATCACCTAAAAATGTGTTTTCAGCCATCCTCTATTTATGTGGACAGTGCCTGAAGCTTGAACGACTGAAAAGCCGTAGATTTTCATCCTGATGGAGATGTGGTAGCGTAATTACAGCGGTTAGATTTGAATGGAGCGTGTTGCAATCAGCACCGAATTCAAACTATTGTAAGTAGTCTTACTGTGCAAGTAAGCGAACAATGTAAGTTTGAATACCTGGACAACCGTAGATCTCCATCCTCATGGATATGTGTCCACGCCACTCCATCGGTTTGATTCGGATGAAGCGCGTTGTAATAGGTGGATTCAAAATGTTGTAAACAATGGTGTTACGGTCTTTATTTGCGAGGAAAATCTGCAGTGATTCAGAGAAAACAATTTCACGCACGTAGTGTATATTGGGTAACACTTTAAAGACCAAGCAGAATATGTAAAATATAAGGAAATTCTGTTGGTTGTTCGAAAGGTCATACTATCTTCCCACTTTGGAACATAAATTTATCACTATAAAGTAATATTTAACAATTATTCCTCGAGCCCGAATGGGCTCTGAGTCAATAGCCCATTCGGCCTTCGACCTCATGGGCTATTGACTCAGAGGCCATGAGGGCAAGAGGAATAATTGTTTTAGTAAAATCCAACCAGTTGGTAAAAAATATCGAGACAAAACAACTTTAGCTAGTTAAATCTTGACTTTAATCCTTTTTTGCCGCCAAAGAGTCAGCGCTTTTCGCTAATAGTGGGCTATAACATGTAGCCTAGTAGTAGCTCAACCAATCAGAACGTAGCATTGATAATAGACCACTAGTTGGATTTTACTAAATAGATTTAGCCATGGCCAAAAGCGAAGCTCTCGTGGGAACGTTTAAGAGAAAGTCTTTCTGAAGTAAAGTTTTCTGAGCCTGCGATCACTTGAATACCATATGTGGTAGGTGGAGAACTTAAAAAGAAAACGTCACCTCACCGAGTTGTACATTTGAGCCCTCGATACAGTCATGTGACACTAGTCAGCGGATACCTTATTTTAATAGCTGTCGATTGATAACAACATGGATGCCCAGTATCAAGTTAAACACAATTCGTATACACCTTGGATTTTAAGCTAGAAACTAAGACATTCCATATCCGCTACCATGATGGAGCGGACGTACGTACCTACGGACTGACGTACGGACAGACAATTTTGTCAGAACCGAAATTTTTTGGATGCATAGCTGACCAAATTTTCGTACCCATGGTGCACCAAAGCGCGCGACAGCTCCGCTGTAAGTGGGATAAGATACAGTCTAGTCTAGTGGTAAGGTGCCACTCTCTATGAGGAGACCTAAGTAATGCTTAATAGAGTTTCTACTTACAGCGATTTTCTGACGATTTTGGCCGCAGAGAATGACTGCGTAATAGGAGGCGGTTAAATAGAGGTTTGACCGTATTCACGCGTGCAATCAGCGATGTTTCGAAAAGGATGAATAATCTTCTTAAGGTACCTAATTAAGTCCGGCGAACTCGCTCAGACCACGTGACCCGAAACGCATTAGCCGCACGGAATAATGCGGCCTACGGACAAGGCAATGGCAGACAGTGGTTCCGTACAGTCCTTCACTATCATTAAAAACACTGGTCACGGGAATTTTGTTATTGGCCGTTTTCACACTAGAGCTAGAAATGGATCATCCGTCTTAGACTAGCCTGTGTACAGTCGCGTCCTCCCCACAGACATCCCTTCTCCGAAATTTTCTGAGTGGATGGGACGGCTGTACACAGGTTATCTGGAACGGATAATCCCGTCTTCAAAAGTCAGGCGGATTGTTCATTCAAAATTAAAACTATTCCCTTTTCAAACTAAGACGTATTACCTATCTGACGCGAATCATCAAACGGATAACCCATCTCACACGAATAATCTTTCTCTAGTGTGAAAACGGCCATTTCTGTTATAATGAATGTCGCGCCCCGGCCTTGAGTTGGGCGTTCGCGTGTCTGCTTTTGCTTTTTCACAAAGATTATTTTTAAATTGACTGTTGACATTTCTAAGTGTAAAATAATATTAGAAGTGGAATACTTTAGGAAAAGTATGATCTATCAAATGTTAAAATTTTTCAAAGAATAGCTTATTTCATCCCGAGATGATCCGAAGACCTTTATTCAAAAAAAAAAAAAAAAAAAAAGGTTAATTAATATTTAATTTTTTGAAACAAAAAAAGTTAATTTTTAACTTTTTCGTTAACCGTAACCGAAAAAAATTAACCGATAGCCGTAAAAGAGCCAAAATTTTAGCCGATAACCGTAAAGGCCACCACCCCATTGAGACCTTCGTAACAGGGTTTCGGATTCCACAAGTATCACCGTCTTGCCGGATCACGGATTAAGCAAAAATTTGCCGAATTCCGGAATTATCCGGATTACGTAAAATGAGGCGAGAAGAATACTATCTGGGCGTACCTTTGCTGAATCTTGAGCTAGTGCTTTGTAGCAATGGAAGTTCACTCCGTCTTCACTGTACTGTAACCTGTACTTGGTAACCCATTGCTCCATATCACTTCTACCCTGAGTCGCTATGCGAGTCACTGTGGTATATGTTCCAAGATCAACCTGAAGCCACTGATAAATGTCATTTTTTAAAGAGCTCCAGGCTCCCTTCTTTTTTCCTTCTTGTTTCCTATTCAATCGAGCTCTATGTGGACCATTATTGTCATGCCACTGAGAAGAGGCACTTATCTGGGCATCAGAGATTGCTCCATTTTCCATACCAAGTGGAGCTACACAACCTGTAATACAGTCAATAACGATAAGTAGAAATTAAAATGTTGGAGCATTATAGTAGAGGACCCTTGACAGTAGGACAATATAGTTACAGATCAAAGTAATAACAGCGGATGATATAAATACAGAGCAAAAACAAGGCGGAGAGCAACAGGTCACCTCTTAAAAACGCTGTAAAGGTTACTCTGACTAAAGGAGACATACTAGGTGCATTAGGCTCTTTGGGAACTCTGTAGTACATTATGAGTGAAGAATAGTTGTATTTCTTAACTTATCATTGCAGTTTGTAACGACATGTAGCGTTACGACATGTTTGTTGCTTTTCACGCTGTGCCTCCAAACGATCCCAAAAAACTTTGTGGTCGTATATCGTACCCAGTTTTTTTCACTCTTTTAGAACATGGCGAATGATCATGCTTGTGGGACGAAACAGTTGAAAAAGCTTCCATAATGTCATCCGTGCATCTGTACTTTGACTTATCCCAGGTAATGACCGACCAAAATGTTCGTTGACTTCAGCATATATGGTTTAATTGATAGTAACAGTTTAATAACCGTTAACCGGCTTATTACCTGGACAGCCGTAGATCTCCATTCTGAGACATATGTGATTGCGCCACTCTATTGGCAATAACCGAACCAGGCGTACCATGATTGGCGAATTCAACTTGTTATACACAATGGTGTTACTATCTTGGTTTCCATCAAAAATCTAAAGCAAGAAAAGTTAATTAAGAAATCTCGTGACTGCTATAAGCCCTTAGGAGTTCTTAAGAATTCATTTAAACGTGTCCGTGAGTTCTATATCGAATTGAAACTTGGAAGTGTTGGATTTTTACGAGAGCGAAAAACCGGAGAAAAACCTCTCCAACAAGGGAAGAACCAACGGAGGAACTTGGATTTCGGATTCCAATCGTTAGCGGGATTCCAAACGCACTGAGCTGGATTCTGGATTCCAAAGTCCAGGATTCCGGATTCCACAAAAAAAAAATTCAAGGAAATTCGATTCCACAAGGAACAATTTCCCGAGGCCCAGAATCCGGATTACCTTCCATCGGGCGAAGTGTCCATTTCCAGAGGCGGATCCAGGGGAGGGACCCCGGGACCCCTTTTTTTTAGGGGCCTAAAATTTTTTTTCGAGACCGGCCACCCCATCTTCCTCCTTATCACAGGGTCTGCATGATCGGGCTCCCCCTTATCTGAAGGTCTGGATCCGCCTCTGATTTTTAGTATTATTTATTATTATTTAGTACCTACCCCTCCCCTAAGCCAACATTTTGCCTTAAGTGAGAAGTAAGTGTTAATGTTAGCTTAGGGGAGGGGTAGGTGGTCAGTTCCCAGAAACTTCAATTGATCCTATTTACATACCGTTGATGAGCTTTCTCCTCTTCCTTTGTAAAAGTGATAAATGACTCCATCAACACTGTACTGCAACTTGTACTTGGTGACCCACTCATCTGAGCCATCCCTTCCTTGTGTTGCCAAACGTGTTACTGTGGTATAACTACTAAGATCCACCTGGAGCCATTGATTAAGATCGTCTTTTAAAGGCGACCAGCCTCCTTGCTTAATTCCGGTCACTTTCACATTTAACCTGGCGCGACTTGCCGCAAAACTATCGGTCTTTTGCGACGAAGCACTTATCTGGAAATCAGAGATCGCTCCACTTTCCATGCCAGCAGGTGTTATGCAACCTGTAAGTTCGTTAAAGTGGAACAAAACATTGCATAAACATCTGTAAGAAACACATGAATATTAGCCTGTTCCAGACTCCGCCATATTTGTGAAAGAGCATCGAGATTAACTGCGCGAAAACCGCGGAAAAGCTGGAGAAAGACAGGTAAGTGGGGCCTGTAAGCATTGCTTTCAATACCTCATTCCAGCTTTGGGTATACCCTTCGATTGGTCAATCAAGTCAATCCGCACGCGGCAGAGACAAAGAAAACACATAGCGTGCGTTGAAAACCCTCTTACAGGGCACATTTTGACATCTTAGGGACCGGTTATTATTCATCGCTGGGGTGGGGGGAGGATTTGGGATAAACAAGGTGAAATTTAGCTGATACCCCCTTTGAAAGTTACTTCACTTAAGTGATCCCCCTTAATAACTTTTGATGACTTACGCGATCCCCTCCATGTCTTCATTTTCCAAGCAGATTTAAGTGATTTCCCGTCTGAATCCTTCCAAAGTTTTCAGCGATCCCCCCGTTTGGGTTCTCAGTTACGACTGATTCCCCCCTTTTGCCCTCCTAAAAATCAAGTGATCCCCTATAAAATCCTCCTCCTCATTATCAGTTTATTACCTGGACAACCGTAAACTTCAATCCTCATTGAAATCTGATTTCTCCACTGCGTTGGCAAAAGACGAATGAAGCGTGTCTTGATCGACGATGGAAGTTTGCTGTACACAACCGTTTCACTATCTGTGTTTCCACTGAACACCTGAAAAATACGATAAAGCTGTGTTTTAATAATTATTCCTGGAGATCGACTTCAAAATGATTATTAATCATTCAAAACATTTCCCTGATTCTGATTTGCTAAAAGCACAAGCATAATTCACCATAACCAGCTACTGATGACCGAATTTGGAAGAATTTTGCGATTAATCAACCGATGACGTAGCCCCTTTCTCCCCTTACGAAATTTACACAAGGAAGAACTGTTTTCTGCTTTTATATCACACTTAGATGATATTTTAAGCTGGAAATGTTCATGAAAGTGCAAGTCTCTTCAATTTGAAAGAAAAAAATTTTTTAATGATGGGCAGCAGGATTCGAACTCAAGATCAGAAGAACCAGTACACCACGCTAACCACTAGACCACTAAGGATTTGTTGGATGAGAGGGAAATAATTTAAGTACATTTTGCCTCAACACCGATCCAAAAGGAGGTGTTAACACCCTCCTCGATCTCCATAATTCTTCATAAGATACTCAGTCTCAAGTCACCATTTTCACATAGGCCATAATGCACCTTGTTTACACCCAAAAATTTTGCATAACCATTGTCTTCGATTTCTTTGGGACAACTGTAATAACCAGGAGAAAATGGAAACAATGGTTATGCAAAACTTTGTGGGGTAAACAAGATGCATTATGGTCTATGTGAAAATGGTGACTGTAAATTAGCGATCCAACCGAAAAATATTAAATTAATATATAGTCGCACCCCGCTTAACGTACACCCGCCTAATACGAACATCTGCGGTTTTTCGAGTCGACTTGGCGCAGAAGTGGTTTGTGCGGCCATAAACCTGGAAAGAGCAGGCAGTTTGTCTTCAAAAGTTGCAAGCTGTGGTTATAACCTTCTTATTATTTAATTTTCTCGAAGGATACATCATAGTAAAACGAACTTTAACTACATTTACTAATTTCCTTTAGTTGTACTGGAAATGTGCGTCGTAAGTCCGATTTTTTTCAAGATGCATTACCAAAATGTGTTCATATATATATATATATATATATATATGGAAGTTCCTGGGTATATATGGTCCAGAGCTCCACCGTGGACACAACAACAATATATCTTTGTATAATAATCTGCCCAAAGAAATTCAAGTTTGCCCACAATGTGTTTGAAGGCACTGAACTTTGTAGCACTCGAGCTGATATTTTAAAACCCACGCTTGATCGGACACTTCTAGCTTCGCAGATCACTAAAATATAAACAGAATCCTCAATGGAGAAGTTTTGGCCTTGATATGTGGGCAGAAAAAGAGTTAATCCTTATCTAGTAAATCTTCCCTAAGATCGGTTTCAAAGCAACCATAGTTTTTTAAACTTGATCGTTTCGCGCAGATTAATTTTGCTTAGTGTTGTCAAGTTGAACATGCATAACACCTGTCAAAAACCTATGCGTAAGGAAGATTTCCCTCAAACAAAGTTAAAGTTACATTATTGAAAAAACTTCTTTCCAATTATGTATAAGACTTAATTACCGATTGAGGTCACTTTAAGGACCATAGACGCCACTTTAAGCAGGCAAAGAGATGCGACAAGCAAAGAACAATTCCGTCATGCATAAAATTCACCTTAAATGAACTAAAAAAGCGTCAATAAGGTTGCAAACAATAAATTGTCATAAAAAAACATAAGGCTTAAGGCTCTTATACCTGCTGACAAAGAAGTAGTGAATTTTCTGTGCGGAAACAACCTACCTAAAGATCTTAAAACCAAAAGATCAGTTGCAAGCTTCGCAGCTAAGCCATGATTCCGACTACTTAGCTAGATTAGCTACTTTTTTTGAGTAAGAACTGGTCCATGCGAGAGTCTTCATTTAAGCAAATTAAACTCAGCAAACTGAATCATTAGAAAACACAGAAAACTGCACATAAGGATTTGTTTTGCCGGCTTCAGTCAAATCCAGCTCCAGTCGATTGTTTAGGAGTCACTGCCGGCAGTTGTCGTTCTCCGCTACTTCACAGCGAGTGAAAGGAAAATTTGCGTACAGAAAGATAACAAAACTATGTAATTAAAACTGAAAAAACTAAAGGAAAAAAACTCTGACTATTATTACTTGAGCAACAGAAAAGCTTGCTGGCCTTCTAAAGTTCCGAGGAAGTTTTAAGCGCTCAAGTTGTTCACTCGCAAACGTTAGTATTACGGTTCTGCGACCGAAGACAAGGATAAAGCTGGTTCTGCAAAGGTAAATAAATAAATCTGGGCATGTAAAAAAACTAACCGTAACTACTAATGACAGAATACAAGCGGGTTTTAATTCAGTCCGGCGAAAGAAGGCGAAGAACTGGACACAAAATTTATTCACAAATCGAATGCACGATTATCAGGAAAATACAAACCTCTTTGGAAATGTTCAAAACGTTTTATTCCTCCTCAGACCGACGGATGGTCTGTTTTTACTCTAACATTGGTTGTTCTGAATCCAAAGTAATTTTCAAGTGACGAAAAAACAACAAAAACAAAAAAAAAAGCCTTTACAACGAGCAAATGTTCGCACCTCGTGTAATTCATTCAGTCTCGGTCAGAACTCTCACAGAACGAGACAAACGAACGCAGGCGATAAGCGATGCGCAGAAGCTTGCGCAGAACGTTTTTCCGCCCTGAAAGACCAACATTGACGTCATGGACATCACGTAGTCTCCAGTCTATCACGCGGCCATTTTAGAAACGTTTTCGTGAAGTCTTCGGAAATGCTCGGATTTTGATCTTTTATCTTTCTATAAAGGCTTGGGAAGAAAAATATTTACTCAAATCTCACTTAGGATGGTTCTCTTTAGTGTTTGGTGAAGGTAAAGCGACAAAAGAAAATATGTCAATTTTTTGGTTCATTTGACCTTTAACCCATTCGCCCCCGGAGATTTTGCCGAAAAACGCGTTTTGAGGCTAGTCGAGCGGTTTTCTGGTCAGTGTTGTGCTATAAAGAGCTAAAACTTACCACAAAGCCGTGTAGAGGTCGTACACTTTGCGGTCTTCTGATCCAGATGCACAATTTTAGTTTGCGAAGCTCGTCATGCGCAGAAAGCAAAAATTTCGGGTTCTTGGGTTTAAAAGCGACACAGCAGTCTTGACTTTTACTTTTCGCTTTCTCTCCCCACCTCTTTTTTCGCTTTTCTCGTCTCATTTTTGTTTTCTCTTGCTGGGCATTTAGTAGGCTTCATTTTCGAGGGAAACGTTTTTAGGAAAGCTTTTAGGATCTTAGGATTAGATGAAAGGGAAGGTAGGTGGGTAGTGGAGGAAGATTTTCATGGAAATTTTCAGGTCAATCTTACATGGTTTTTTGACTTTTTCTCAGGTGTCCTTGACCGAATTGTGCTCATTCTGGTATGGTTTGAAAGATCTTTTCACTCTGCTTAAATTAGCGGAAAAAGTTGTCCTCGACCATCAAAACTGATGACATCACAAGCGGTAGAAAGGACGTGGATCCGCACGGGCGGTTACTGGCGGCTCAGGAGCGAATGGGTTAAGGACGGTAACAGTCTATAGAGTCTGACTCAGGGTGGAGGTCTGAAGGGATGGGATGGACTACACCTTGAGGTTTGTTAACCCTTTAAACACTTATTGGAATTCTCATTTGTTGCCCCTATTCATTTCCCACAGAAGTAGTGGGGAGAAGTTTGATTAAATATCAAGCAAATTCATCTTATGAGATCATGGCCGTAATTCTCATGAACACTCTGTTTTACAAAGCATTGACATTACAAGGAGAAATTTGATACTGATCGCTGAGTACCTTTGGAGATGTACCTCCGACGTCTTTGTAAAAC